AGTTTGGCCACAAAACTTTAACGGTTTGACAACTTTGATCCCTTTTCTAGTTAGGAACCTTTTAACGGGTTGACAACTTTGGTCCTCATTTTTTAGCCATTTTGACACTTTTGGTCCTTATAATCGATATTTTTAAATTTTTTAGGAACCTTTTAATATTTAAAGTTTGGCAACAAAACTTTATCGGTTCGACAACTTTGATCCCTTTTCTGAAAACTTGTTAATTACTACCGCTTTAATTCTTTAGCCATTTTGACACTTCTGGTCCTTGCAGTCAAAACTTTTACATTTTTTCATAAAAACATGAACAAAACGGTCCGGGGCAAAGCCCGGGCTTGTCATCCTTGCACTTTCTACGTCTGTCATATTTATCGATTCGGAAACAACATTGAAAGCTTATGGCCCCCGCGTAGCGGAGGTAACCTTTCTAGTTTATATAAAGAACTATTAATGTGTGATAATTGGCATACAAATGCTTCCAAGATCTCTTCTTGACCAGACATTTTTTTTTGTTTTGATAGCCTTTCAACTGAAAGTTTTTAAAAATGGTTATACCTACGTCCCAAGACATCTCAGAAAGCTTTGATGACCACTCATTCGGTTGGAAATTTTAGATAACTCCTAAGATAGGAGGGTTAAAAAAAAATCATGTTCTGAAATTTCGAACTTCCTTTTACGGAATAAATAGTTTGAAAATCATAATTGAGTTTGAAATGTTCTAAATAACAATTTTCGAAATAACCTTATGTCATATTTTAGTTTATTGGAATTTTACTGGATTCGAAAATCGAAATAGATTCGAAAAACCAAAAAACATATTTTTTTGAAGATGCTTTATGATTTCGAATAAAATATCCCTTTTTAGAAAATTAAATTTTTGAACCCAATTCAAAAATTCATATTGAACTTCGAAAAAGGTGATTTTCAAACCAATTTTGTTTTAGAAGTAAATTTTGAAAATGGTTGATCAATGTTATTTTTGAAATTCGTAGTTTTTTTAACGGCAAATCTATTTTACTCATAAACTACTAATAAATCAACATATGTCTCCGACGTGATTTGAGCCCTCGACCTAAAAAAACATAAGATACCGCTGGGCTAGAAGTTCTTTAATGAGATTGATAGTTTTATAAGATAGATTTTAATTATATGGTTAATGGGGGTAATAAAATTAATCTCATAGTTTTATAAGAGGGGTTTTAATAATATGGTTAATTTTTTTGGAAACGACGAATATTATTGAAAAACTCAACCCTCGACTAGCAAGTAACTAGCGAGGGGAGGAGGAAACCAACGAAAGAGCGTACATAATAAGAAGAACAACAGGAAAGAAAATACAATGCTATGGAGCATGGAAAGGGGAGGGCTTCCACTCTTCCCATTTACAAAAATCGCCAATTCCCCTACATTTAAACTAAAAAAAAAACCAAAGATTTTACTTTTTCAGCACCTAGCGTAGGGTTGATGAAGTTCTCATTGAAGAGTCTATCATTCCTGTACTTCCACAAGTTCCATAGTACTTCGTAGCAAATAGTGATGAATTGCTTTCTCCTTTTAGAACATCTGCCCCAATTTTCTGCGATCTGATCAGATCGGTGATAGAGTTGAAAGGCTTGTGTTGTATACCACACCATGTAAATATTTCCTCCCTGACATCACATGTGAATGGGCATAGCAACAGAATATGATATGTATGGTCAATCCCATTAATACAAGCACTACAGTGAATGGAAGAGATGTCAACTCCCTATGACCTTAAAGTCACCGCCGAAGGGATTTTTTGTTGCATTGCTCGCCATATGAAACAGTTGACTTTTTGTGGTGATAACTTGCTCCATGTGAAACTTGGGAGAACAGGGGTAGGATAAAGATGTTGTTCAATTTTTTCTTTGAGAATACTAACCATGAATAGCCCTTTGTGTCCAAAGGAGAAACACCATTGGCCTTCTCCGGTCACCAAGTGCACATTGGATAGATCACGTTCCAGGTTGGTGAGGTGGTGAGATAATGTTGAGTCATTCATTCTTGATTTCCAATGGCCTGCGAAACTGCCATCAATAATTCTATTTGCCACAGAGCAATTTTTCCTTGATTCCTGTTCATAAAGGGAAGGGTACTACTCCTTTAATGTTTTCTGTCCAAGCCATTTGTCAGACCATAACAGATAATTAACATCAGATTTGATCTTCAATTTAAACATCTCTTTGGTGTCTATCCCCACTTTCTTCAGTTCATTCCGAACTGAAGCAATGTCTTTCCAGACTCCATTGATGTTCCTGTTTTGCCAAGTGATCGTGAGGTTTATTATGAAGATTGTGTATACCTTTTATCGTTTTTCCCCATAGCGATTCTTTCTCATCTTTCACACGCCACCACCACTTTACCAGTAAACTAGTGTTTGATGTGCGAATGGATCCCACGCCAAGTCCTCCAATTGACTTTGGAGCGACAACTTTATCCCAGGAAACCCAATGAATTTTTCTTTTGGTTTCATCTCCCCCCCCCCCCATAAGAATCAATGCCTTATTTTTTTTCTAGATTCTATGTTACTGGCTTACTGCCACCGGAGCCTTAAATAGAGAGAAGAAGTATGTAGGGAGGCTCCTTAATACCGAAGTGAGTAACGTTAATCTCCCGCCGAATGAGAGTGCTTTAGATTTCCAAGAAGATAATCTAGATTGGAATTTGTCTATTATTGGCTTCCAATTTTTTGTGAGATTCATATTTGCACCAAAGGTAACTCCAAGGTAGTTAAAAGGGAATGAGCTAGCTTCACATCCAAGGATGCTACCCCAGTTTGATATCTCCCGGTCCGAGGCTCCAATTCCAAATACTTTGGATTTGTGAAAATTAACTTTGAGACCCGAGGAAGCATGAAAACATTTAAGGATTCGAGCCAAGTTTTTGAGATTGTATCGGGACCATTCACCCACAAATAATGTGTCATCTGCGTAGAACAAATGAGTTAGGATGGGTCCTCGATTTGGAATATGTACCCCTTTGTAGATCCATTTATCTCTAGCAGCCTCCATTGCTACATTGAGACCTTCCATTGCTATAATAAAGAGAAAAGGGGAAAGTGGATCGCCATGTCGTACACCTTTTGAAATTTCAAATTCCTCAGTTGGAGAACCATTGATGATGACTGAAGCTCGCGATGATCTAAGGCACCCATGAATCCATTGCCGCCATTTGTTACCGAAACCCATATGTAACATGATGAAGTCCAGGTACTCCCAGTTTAAGGAGTCGAAAGCTTTGTCGAAGTCGACTTTAAACATCAGAACCTTTTTATTCACTTTTTTCACCCACGAGTAAAGTTTATTTATAACTAGCGGGCCATCTAGGATGTATCTGCCCTCCACATATGCAGATTGTACTTCACCAATGAGGCCAATGACAGATTTGAGTTTGTTGAGCCAATATCTTGGAAATAATTTTATACATGCAGCCAATGAGGCTTATAGGACGGTAATCAGAAAGCGAGAAAGGGTCTTTGATCTTTGGAACAAGCTTGATGAATGATGAGTTGCAACCTCTTGCAAGGGTACCGAATTTGTCAAAGTGAAGGACGAAATTCATCACATCCACCTTGAATGTATCCCAATAGGTTTTCAAAAGTTTGAAAGTGAGCCCATCGGGTCCAGGGGCCTTTTCAGATCCGCAGGCCCAAACCGCTGTTTTTACTTCCTCCATACTGAATGGTGCTTCCAGTTTGATTGCCTCCATCATGGATAAGGTCTTGAAGTGAGAGCTGATGAGTTTGGGTCTTGAGGTTCGATTTTCTGTGAATTTGTTTTTGAAAAATCTGAGTGCTTCTCCCTTAACTTCATCCGCGGTTGACGTCCATTTACCGTTAATCATCAACCCATGAATTTTGTTTCTCCTGTTTTGATTGTTTATATACCCGTGAAAGAATTTTGTGTTCTCGTCACCTTCAATATTCCATCTAACTCGAGATTTCTGTTTTAAGTCCAACACTTCAGGTTTTTCCAATTCTAGGATCTTTTGGAGTCCACGACTTCTAGTCTCAAGTTCATTATCTGACAAAGGTCTTGATTCAACCAACTTTTCTAGTTGCATCACATCATTCTTTATACTTGTAACCTCTAGTTTCTCATATGTATTAGATTTTTTTCTTCCATTTCCTAATTTCATCTTTTAAGTATCTGAATTTGGCAGCAAGGAACGCGTCAGGATTACCAAACCCAATAAAAGTATCCCATGCTTCTTTGACAGTGGAGTCGAGACCATCCTTTAACAGCCAAGAATTAAAGAATTTAAAGGGGGTGGGTCGTAGTATGAAGTGATGGAATTTAGTGTGATAGGACAATGATCAGAGATTTCACGCGGGTGGGCAGTAACCGATAATGAGGGAAAAGCGGATAAAAAATTAGAACAAGCCAAAAATCTGTCTAGTTTGCTTAAATTGGCATCCACTCGAGACATATAGGTATATTTTTCTCCACACATCCTAAAATCCTGACGTTCTGCTTCATAGATAAATTCATTGAAGGCAAAAGCGCTGGAAGGGCAAAAATGAGCGTTGAATCTTTCCTTTGTGTTTCTGACTACGTTGAAACCCCCAAAATAATCCAGTTACATGGTTTCAAGCTTTTGATTGTTGTTAGTTTTTTCCATAGGTTCCTATGATCGCTTAGATTATGTGGTCCATAAACATTTGCAAATATGGTGTCACCGTTGATTCCAACCCATTTTCCAATGATAATGAGAAAGTGTCTGGACTTTATGACCTTTTTTTTTCTAAAAACAATTGATGTTCCAAAGTCACACAAGACCACTAGATCTACCGTTGGAGTCCACTCCTTCATGATCAAAGTCAGGAGACCCCCAACAACCCTGTACATCGATTTTCTCCGCATCGATCAATTGTGTTTCCTGAATCCCCACAAAATTGACTTTGTGGACGTTCTTCAATTTTTTAACCCAATCAACTTTCACCTTCTCCCCAATGCCACGTATATTTAGGGACATGCAATTTAGTGATCACATCTCTTCTCACCGCTATCTGCCAACGTTTCTGCAAGAATTGCATTCTCAGCGTCAACTTGAAATCCAATTGCAGCTCCAATCTCATCTGTTTATTGATTTTATTTGATTGTGTTTCCTCTAAGAAATTTCTGATTGTTGGTGTGCAATTAGCCTTTGAGGGTTTCAAATTATGATCAATATTCTGATTCGCCGGATTGATACACCTTGGTTGGATCGTCTGAGACGAGGGTGCCAGGTTCGTAACTGTGAGTTGGGATGACCTGAACCCCGTCTTATCCCTATTTCTCTTTTTTTCCCTTCGCAGTTAAATTCCAAGTCTGCTACAATTTCACCGTTTTGGTAATGTAGGGAAGTGAATGAGAAAAGAGGTGTATTATTGGGGAATGGGCCAAAACATCCCAACGGGACCAAATCCTCAGTTGGACCAATATCAGGGAAACCGATAGGCTTGGGAAGGGTGGTGGAGTCCACTAGGTGTATGGGATTGAGATTGACACAACAATTTTCTGGCGGCTTGGAAGGACTCGTAGGGATTTGAAGCGTCGCCTTAACCTTGGAATTAACAACCTCCGCATTTATGTCTGCCTTGTAACTCTCTACTAACGGCTCAGTGGTCGGAGATTTTCCGACTTCCATCTCTGTCGGCGTAGGTTCCACGACCATCGGAGCAGGAGGAGAATTTAAACTATGATGCTTCACCGGTGTGTTTTCTTGACGGAATTCCCCTTCCTCTAGTTCATCTGTTTCCTCATTTATCCATGTCTCAGACACCCCCCATCGACTTCATCATCATTTTCGTCATCTGATTTTGCTACTTTATCAAACGGAGCTGGTTTGAACGGAGACCAGTCGTCCGTGTATTCCACTACACCAATTTTATGTTCTGCCTCATTGCATGCAATAGTAAATTCTTCGTTTATCCAGTTTTTTACAGACGTAAGCACCCAAACATTTCCTATCGAGTAGTCCCTCCTCCCAAAGATGTTATCAAATGGGTTGATAACTTTCCTAAATCTGCTAGCAATTAAAGAGAAATTGTCTTCGTCCTATAGTTGTAGAGGAACACCTAGAATTTTTAGCCACACAACTCTTTCGTATTTTATTTCGTGTTGATCTGCTTGAATTAGCCACTTGAACTAGTCCTTCCAACGATTCTTATCATTCAGATACTCTATAGCACCGACAGAGTACTTAAATCTGATAGCGAGTCTGAGACCACCGAGGTACTTTGTTTCCTCGTTCATGATACCAGTGACATGTAAGGTAGCAATGTGGTCCAGGCTATACATTTCTCCAATCAATACATTTTTCTTTATCCATTCCTTCATTTGGGTGTTTGGGTTGAGTTCTACTGGAGGAGTTGTGTTCTTTGGCTCCCGCCTGTTCCAATCGGATGTTACTTGAGCACAAGTTATGTTATCTTTCATCGCCGGTATATGCGTGGGGGCACCGTGAAAGGTGCTCGGAGGTGTTGTCTGCCCTTTTGTGGGTTGTTGACGAGATTCATGGGACCGACGTAGGGTGGTTTTACGTTGGTGCTTCGAGATGTTGACTTCTAGTACCGTATTCTTACATCTGGTACCTTGTAGTTTGTTCTCCAATTCCTTGGCATCTGCGATGTTGACATACCTGACGAATGCAAAATTCTTCTTGTGGTAATCTTTTTTGAGGCCAAAGTACACATCCACTACCTTCCTGAATCTATCGAATGGTTTCCGTAACTCCTCCTTTCTTGTTCCATCAAGGAATCCCGCCACGTAGAAGTTAGTAATGTCATTTTTGCTCACCTGGGTTTTGTTGTTGTTTTTCCTCCGTCGGACCTCCGTCCAGTCTCCGTTTGGTTGGTGGAGAACCATCGTCACTCCTCTTCCTTTTTCACACATTTCTAATAATATGGTTAAAGGGGGAAATAAAATTATCTGAGGGGTTTTAAATATATGGTTAATGGGGGTAATAAAATTAATCTCATAGTTTTATAATATGAGTTTTAGTTATATGGTTAATTGGGGTAATAAAATGTTCATTGATTTTCGAAAAGAAAACATAAATTAACCTACATAAACAATCATTAATCCATTTGAACATTTTAAAATGTCTAGAATATGCGAGTCATTTTTAAACTAAACATGCAACCAAACTCGACATTTTCCAATGTCTTTATCACACATCCACATGTGACACCAAATCTATGTTTCAAAGACAGTACACTGCTGGCATTATTTTTCCATATTACCCCCCTCAATTATTTCGTTCTTTCAAACATTGCCCTCCTTACAAAGAAGAATATAATATTGAGGCGTTTATTTGAAAATCCATGGATTAATTCTTTAAAATATATTATTGATGGTCAAAACTGAAAAAGGATATACGAAAATTAAAAAGAAGAATTAGCCAAAAGCCATGTAAAAATTATTCAAATATTTATAACGTTTTAAATTAATTTCATGAACAAATATTAGTTTTGGTAAAATAATAATAATTATAATAGTCATTAATAGTCTTAAGAATACATTGTCATGGAGACGTGAAATTATTAGTCATTGATGGTCTTAGAAATATATTTTTTGAATCCCAATTTTAACCCAAAAAGAGAGTTCACGTTTACTAGCTAAGACGTTCCGCTCTTTAAATAGAAGTTGTGATTTCGACTTTTGTCATTAATATCTTTTTTTTTTTCATTTTAAAATATTACGTTTTAAAATATTTATTGTTGGTTGATCAAGAGCTAAAAAAAATTCAAAAATAATAACAAATGGGGAACAATAAAAATTTTAGGGCAAAACGTAAGTTGAGACCTAAATGCAAACTGAAAAAAAAAAAAAAAAGTTTCATGTTAGCCAAACTCACTCATCACCATAACCTATTGGTGTGATCGAACAATGACTCAAAAATAAAAGGTTTCCAAAATATAATGACAAGAAAAAAAAATATTATGGTTAAAACAGGATAAAATTATATTAATAATGGTTTTTGTAACATTAAATATTTAAAAAAAAAATACTCCACCTTATTATATTCATTTGTGACAACCCGGAACTGTCACTTTGTATACTTAGTCAACTCAACCAATGTTAGACCCGAATCCATGGTCTTTTGGCATTGTTTAAGGGTTCATTTAAGCGTTCTAAGCTTGAGTACAACCAATGTTGAGGTTAGGAATCAGTCAGCAAGCCGTAGGGTGACAAAACCGGGCCATACACACCCTTAGGGGGAGTGTACGGCCGCACACTCATCCCTTGGCCGTACACACCCCTCATGGCCACACACCCACCCCTATATAAAGGGTAGACCCCTTTCCTTTCATTCCTTTAACACCTTGGCAGCACACAACACCATTTCTCTAAAGCTTCTTCATCCACAAACCCTCCCAAGGCTTCAAAAACGTGAGTAATCCATCCCTTAACTTGTTGTGCTTGAAGAACCTCTTGATCTAAGTCTTAATTCATCATGTCCTGTCATGTTCTTCATCTCCTTGAAGGAGTGCGGCCGCACACCCACATAAGGTGGCCTCACACTCCTAAAAGACCCTCCAAAGTGAGAGTTTGGCTTCCATCTTTGAGTTAGACATGACCATAGCCTTGCTACACCTTGGAAATGGCATTTTGGACACAAAACTTGAAGAGTGTACGACCACACACTCCTGTGTGCGGCAGCACACTCCTGTGTGCGACCACACACACACACATCCCAAGACCACAAACCCATTTCTAAGACCCTAAACTTGTACTACAATCAAGTATGGACCTAGAACACTTCCTGAATGCAAGTATGGACCTTGAAACACCTCAAAGACACCTTCCAACATGAGTGTACGACCGCACACCCATGGCCACACACACCTTTAAGGTGGCCATACACTCCCCTCATGCAATCCTTTAAGGTCCTAACAATTAGTGCAAGTAGTTCCAAGTCCCTAGAATGGTTCCCCATCACATCTAGTGATGAAATACCTTCATTTGACTCCTTTATGTGTCATTACGTGTTAATTAGGATCAAATTGTGTTCAATGCTTCACTTGAACATCCAGCATTCCGTATCGATCCTTCATTCAAACCACTTGCCCGAGGTGAGTTCATACCCCTACGTTTTTCCAAGTTTTTCATGTTTTCAGGGGGGGGGGGATACAAGGAAACTTGTGCTCAAAATATATTATTTTGCTTAAGATAATTATATTTTCAGTATGCTTTTAACACGGAAAACAGTTTTACCAAACGATTAAGAAATCAACTCGTAGAAACAGTTTTCAAAACTAGAGCAATGAACTTATGAATCATGTAGTAAAATGTGTCATTTTATAAAGGATTCATGCAAACCATAAAAAGGATTTTCTATATTATTACTTGTAAATTTGTTAGTCTAAGTTGGAGACACGTCCTTGGTAACACTCCCACAGAATCAGAGTGTAGGACTAGCACTTGTGACCAGAATCTCTTGTAGGGAGAGCGTGACTGTTGTGTATAGATCTATACGAGACTGACAATCCCGCACCCTGCTACTAGCTACAGTCGGACCAACAGGTCTACGGGTGAAAAATTCATAAAGGATACCGGCCCCGTTGCGTGCCATATCCAGTCAGTTATGGTCATGACACTCGCAATATAGATAACAGGAATTTACTTTTGTAATAATGAATCAAGTAAACTAACCTCAAAGTAATAACCGATTTGATTACTAGAGGGTATTAATAATACCTTCATGATTTAGTTCATCACGTTTTCTTTTTATTAGTTTTATTTATGTAATAAGACTAATATACCTCACTGGGAGTAACCAGGGTTTTTTTTAAAAGAAAACTACGTTTATCGATATAAGTATGGTAGATACTTGTACACCTCAGTTTAGAACGGATAACCAACCATCAACTTTTAGGGGAAAATATAGGATTTTCCCGGGATAACTCGGCTTTTCATCAACGGATTGTTTAACAAGTAACCAACGGATATTCATATTCATTCCACGACACCTGGGATTGTACATATCTTGTATGAATCGGGAAGTCATGGAAGGAATGGGTTTTCAAACACGCTTTTCATAAGAAGATATAGGATTTTCTTGAGGAACACTTTTCAAAAGAATCAAAGAACATTTTTCCACCAAAACCAAATGCTTATGAACTCACCAGCTTTATGCTGATATTCTTTCAAACTGCTTGTATTCTCGGGAAATCAGTAGACAGGTACTTCTTGGATTTAGAGGAGCCGGAGCAATAAGAGTCATGTTTTACATATTTTACATACTTTTGATGTATTTAAAACAAGTTTCAAACTGATGTAAACACTTTTCATATTTGTATTCAATGTTTGATTGTGTTTACTATTCTTGCTATACAATTGTTGTGATGCTAAACATGAAGTCCTCCACCCCGGAACGATTCCGCCATCACGGTTTCGAGGTGTGACAGATTGGTATCAGAGCCCTTGTTTATAGCGAACTAAGTATACTGAACCTTACATGGTATACAACTATAAATACTAAGGGGCCTAAGTGCTCTAAACTAAAAGTATACTTTCAAAAATATAAGTATTTTTATAGTAAAGTATATAAGTATACCCGAGTACCAGAATCCGCGTCATAAGTAGAACAAAACAAAAGTATTTGGATGTTGGACATCGCGGTTAAACCTGGGCAGTTATGTAATCTTGTCTTGGATCAATAAAGCCTGATCAACTATATTCATTCGAGACATGACCAACATGTGCTTGGGAGTGACCGTGGTGTTGCAGCAAGCCTAAAACTTGCCTAGATACCAGAAGAGTTCTAGAACCGAACATCAGGATTAAAATACTATAGGAGTATTTTAGGGTGCTATAGCGACCGAACCAGAAACCTACCCAAAGATCCATTCTTCAAGAGTTAGTCATGAAACTATAATACATTGGAAGTATTACTAGATTCGATGTCTATTAACTATCCCTTTACCATCACATCGCGTAGATAGCATGGTTGGATTCCATCTTCCTGGCGACCCGTACTTTCCCAACCAAGGAGATGGTGGATGGATCGATCCAGAGCCAGAAGGAAACCATGAAATTCCCTTGGACGATGACTTTGCCGAACTATTTCCTGAAGAGACTGATTCGGAACCCGAAGCCGAGAACCTACCTCAAGTGGCCCCAATACCAAATCCCAACCCCCAGCCTGTACTCGAAGGCCCAACGCCTATGTGGGTCGGAAGCCTGGATAGGTGGAGTCACGAGCAAGGACAAACCTGCCCGTACGATGGGGATCGCCGCTTCTGCAGATAGAGCCCTTCCAATCATAGTCCGCCGAGTGGCCCGTAATGTTGAACTAAACGTGGCGGCCATTCAGCGAACCGTGGAACTTAAGGCAGACTCGGATGCCAACGCAAACCGCATTCGTAATCTCGAAGTTGCTCATTGGAGAACTACGAGAGACAATGAAGCCCATCATCGAGAGCTAGCTGCAACTCGAGCTGAGGTCATAGAGCTCCGAGCACGCCAGTCAGTGTACGAGAGCCGCCTGCTTGACATGGAGCGCCAGCTGGCTAACTTAAGGATCCGTCCGAGGAGTGCCCGTCACCAGTAGAAAATGTTCTACTCATCCTTCCCTTTTGGTCTAAAGAATAGCTTTCATATTTATGCTCTAAGTAGCTCTTTTCCCTGTAGACATTCTTGTCTTGCAAGTACCGATTCACCAGTTCTTTATGTTGTCAAATTTTTCCTCTGTTGGTATGTTGTAGATCTACTCCTAGGTCAAATTTTCCGAACTCTGTGTTATCTCAATACCAACAATAGTGACAACAATCCTATTTCAGTTGAAGAGTTATCTTTGTCGAAAGTATACCTTAGACCGGTAGCATGCAAGCTAAGCAACTTCATCAAAGTCTTATCACTGTTTTGTCTTCAGAACATGTATCATAGGA